TTGCGACTCGGCGAGTTGAGTCGCGGTGGCCCCATGATTTAGGCCCATGTGGAACTCGTCGAATCGGGGGAGTACTCAACGAGTCAAAGGGAAAATCCTTGCGAGTTTGTTAAAACGCGTAGAATCACCGAGTCACTATAGTGGACTCGCCGAGTCCAGTCTAATTGACCAAAGACTGTTGACCAAGTCAACCTGTGTTGACTTGATATGGATGGTCAACCTTAGTGGTACAAGTAATAATTATAGGTTCATGATATCATAGGAGGATTACAGCTCAGGGGTTCGAGCACGAGTGATTCCAGGGTTCACGATTAGCGAGGCATACGAGGTGAGTCTTCTCACTATACTGTACCCGGAAGGGTTTGACTGTGTGACCGGAAGATCGAATATGATATGAGATATATGCCTTATGTGTGTTAAGTTATTCGTTATATGTACCATGTATGATATGCTTGATTTGGGCCGGAAGGCAACATGTTATGGGCCGGAAGGCGTGGTCATATGGACCGTAATGTTGACGTGGGTAGGACCGGAAGGTTTACCCAGTCGGGACGGAAGTCCCCTGAGACACATGGACCGGAAGGTCAAGGCCTGGAAAGGCGTACGTGCGTAGGTTGTATTTTGGGGAACTCACTAAGCATTTATGCTTACAGTTGTTGTGTTATGTGTTTCAGGTACTAGCGAGGACCGTGGGAAGGCGCCGGCGTGATCGTACACACACTCGGGGAAACCATTTTGTGATCTTGTGTTATGTAATCGGTCGTGACTAAATTGTTACATTGGAACCTAAACTTATTACTCAATGTTTTGATGATTGTAAAAATGAAAAAATTTTGGTTTCGGAATTTATGACGTTACACCATAAAGGCTATCTCTACAGTTAGCTATAAAAGCTATCTCTACCAATAGCCATAAAATCTAGCTCTACCATTAGCCATAAAGGCTATCCGAACCATTAGTTGTAAAAGCTATCACTACCACGTATCACTGCATAAATATGCCACACACCTCTACACAACAAGTATACCAAGTATCATAAAATGATCCGGCCTTGGTGCCTTAGACCCATTGGTATGGTGAGAAGACTCACCTCGAATGCAGAAGCTTCCTTAAAGAAATCCTTAACTGCTGCCTTGTCTAGTTCCTAAGCTATCAATACCGATCAATATACCCAATTAGGAAGTGGGTACCATACCAAAATCCTTAACCCATGCACGGGGGTAAATGACCATTCTACCCCTGGCCCAGTATGATCCAAAACTAAGGCCCAAACCCAAAACAAAAACCCAACACTATATTGTCTATAAATCCATTAATGGCCCAATTTTCCAAATTGGGCCCAAACCACTACTTGGGTCTTGCCATGAGGCCCACATCCTTCTTTTAAGTCCAACACACTTAGCATCCCGATGGTCCAACAATAATCCAAACACTTAAGCCTAAAATGCTAAAAAAAACACTTGCGGCCCAAACCAAGGCCCAAGTTTACAAATTGGGCCCAACTCCTTCCGAGGCCTTTTCCCTACATCACTAACAGCCCAAAACCTGATGGCCCAATGAGCCCAAGATAAACAAGCCCAACAGTTGGCCTACACCGAAGCCCAATAAACAAAACTTATTCTGAATGAGTACATAGGACGTACTCAGCCATACACAACGCGTATTAGGTTCATGACTTGTACCCTGCGCATACCATACTCCTCTGTTAATTTCTTTTTGCCATTAATCACCTAATGCTTCAAACCAAGGGACGAAATTACAGATCTGAGCTCTACTTAACGTCTTAATCCATAAAGTCACTTACTTGGTGACTTACATGACCCACATGAACCCAAACTCAAAGTATAGGAATCTACTTCCATTAAAATGACCATAACTCTTGCATGAAACCATTAAGACCTTCAAGATGGCAACTTTCTGCCTTAGGGACTCAAATAGCACCAAGGGTGGCAAACCTAAGCCTAAGAATCAGATTTGAACCATAAAGCTTCAAGCTTGGGACCAAAAGGTCTAAAACTCAACATAAGAGATCTAAGGCACCAACCACCAAGTCTAAGGCTTTATACCTCAGATGAGAGCGAAACGTTGGTGTAGTTCTAGATCCAAAGCTCTATCTTCTTCAATAAGTCTTCGTGAATGAACACCTTCTTTAAAAACACCAAAATGCTCCTCTAATGGCCATCCATGCTCCAAAATCACTCAAATGAGGGCTAAGGGTCAATTTCTTGGGTTTAGAGGGTTGGAGACTGAAGATATTAGGGTTAGGTTATGAGATAAGGAGCTTAAATATGGTCCACGACCCTAAAATAGGGTTCTAATCTGACTCGCGTACGCCCAACGTAATTCTGGTACGCCCATTGTAATCCAAAGAACATTCACTACCATCTTGGTTAGTACACCCACCGTACTCCAAGGTACGCCCCGCGTACTTCCTTTTTCACTAGTACGCCCCGCGTACTCTTTGTGTACACCCTGTGTACTTGGATAAGCCTGAAAATCACGAAACTTCCGAAGACCATAACTTCTTTGTTCTATGCCTGATTCCGGCGATCCTTATATCCACGGAAAGGTAACAAGAAGCCCTACACTTCTATTAACTCATACATTTATGAAAACCATCCGAACAAAAATTCATTTTCCATAAAAGGTCGAACTGCCGCTTTACCGAAATACCCCTAGACTCCAAAATATGAACTGAACACCCGAATCACTTCTAATATATCACCCGCACCAAATGGGCCTAGATATTACCTTCTCAAAAGTCATAATCCTTATAATGACCAACCTTCGAGCCACAGCTTCAAACTAGGAATTGATTCAGAACAGGTCGTTACATAAGTAAAGGTCTTGTGCTTCAAAGGAATAAAGTTTAGACCTTATTGAATATTAATAATGTTGGTTAAGTGATTAAAACCCTTGATTTGTACCTTGAAGCAAAGGGTAAAATTGAAAAAGTGATATTTCGAGCTTCTTGCATGAATTAATGATTTTAGTTTGGTATGTGCATATAAAAATTGCTGAAAATGGAGTTGAAATGAAGAAGTTATGGTTGTTTGAAGTTGAAGTGGATTTTGGGAAAAAAAACCAAGTTCACTATGACGTGGTGAGGAGCTTCTCCACGACGTGGAGCGTTGTGCAGCCTAAGCCCATTAAATTAGGGTGTGACTTGTATTTAAGGGCTTTAACCCCTTGTTTTAGGTCATTTTCCACCCTCCATTGCACCAAGAAACCTTCTTTTTAGCAAACCCTAGCCTCCCTTCATAGATTAAGCCTCTATTCCCTCCTTCAACCTTTTTTGGGAGCTTTTGGTAGTGATTTGATGAAGCTTGAAGATCAACAAAGTTCTTTTAGTTGCAAGAAATGTTGTTTCAAGTTTCGATCCATCAAATGCACTCGATTTCTGGACTATTTTGAGTATAAAGTTCCTATCTTGCTCTTTAGTTCTTTAGATCTTGTCATTTGGGGTTTTGGTACTTTTGGTCCATTTTATGTGTGATCTTTCAGTTGAGTGGACTCCAACATCTTTTCATAAGTTTACAATGCTTCTTGGACCTCGTGGACTAGGAAAGTTATGATCTTTTGCCTTCCCTTTAAGCCATGCATGTTGTTTTGGTCCTTTAGATCATTTTGGTGTATTAAAGTTAAGATCTTGAAAGTTTGTGGTATTATTATGGATAAAGTTGGAAACTTTATCCATCTAAACATCATGTTGCTTCAAATCTGAAGGTTTGAGACTTGGACTTAATGGATTAAGTTGAGGAAGATGCATTATTGGTCTCTTGAGAATTAAAGTTTAGATCTTGGTTGTTTGGACCATCTTAGTAGATATAGTTGGAAACTTTATCCATTACGAAGTTATTATGTACCTGATTTGATGTTATGAGCCATGGTCTTTAGGGATTAAGCTCTTAATGAAGAAAATGTCAGTCTACCAGAGATCACGACGTTGCCAAGGAAGGCCCACGATGTGGTGGTGCTCTACATCTCGCCTATTTTGTCCTGACATTGTCACGACGTGGCTAAGAGTTCACCATGGCGTGGCGCCCGTTGACTTTTGTTGACCATTGACCGTTGACTTTCTGACCGGTTTGAATTTTGTCAAACTATGATAGAATTGAGTGTTTAGATAATGACTAGTTCCGGTTTGGTTTTAGGTAGCTTATGTTAGCTGTTATGTTGCTGAGTTATGTTGTTGAGCCTTTGCTGGTTAACTCATGTTAGTTTTCTCACTATATACTTTGTACTTCAGTATGTATCCTTGTGTGCCGGATGTTGGTATATTGTAGTATTCTATTAGATTAGTATATTTGTATGATTACCTTTGTTTGCTAGTTATAGTTTACTTGTTACATATGTCGACATATTGTGGTTGGTTGGGTTGAGGCGGTCCTTGCAAGGTGATCCAGTTAAAATTACGCTCATATGTTCTTGCATTGTACGTGTATTGTTGCATGATGTATTTTGGGAAACTCACTAAACTTTAGCCTATAGTTGTGGATTAAATGTTCTTCAAGTACTTATCGGATGGCGAAGGCAAGACTCTACACACGCGCATCAGTTGTTTTATGATTAGGGATTCCACAATGTTTTCCTTATTACTCTAATTTTGAAATATGATTTATGAACAAATGGTTTGATTTGAAGTAACTTCATAAAATGGATGTTTTCTAGAACTTTTACACAATGCCAAGGTTCTTTTGAGTCCATGCACACATTATGACCTCTTTGAGAGATTAATGGACTTTGGGTTTAAGATATTACATTGCGGAGTTGTATAAATGGATTTTAGATTTCGCATGTTTTTCTTTTATAACTCTGGTTACAGTTTGTGAACAACTAGTGTTTTTGATTATTCTAATTTAGAATTGATTTTTCTCTAAAAAATTGGGACATTACATGAAATCTTCATCACAAACATCAAAGCTCTCAATAATAGCCTAATATTACCAGATTACAAGTAACAATTGAATCATTCATAGTGGCAATATATTTGATCCGACTTAAATGTCACTTAAATAAATACGAGAATCTAGCCACTCATCCACCATGGCCAAAGCTTCTTCAGGCTTGTACAATGCGATTCCATGACCTGCACCCTGCATAAGAGTAGATCCAACAACTTTTTCAATACAAAATAAAACTTTACGGAGTAGGTTGATCGTGGGTAGAGGTGTGACAAAATTAGAAAAGAAAAATAAACTTAATATATATTAATTTTGTTAATCTAAGATAGATTGAGTATGGTTGCATTAATTATTTATGTTTTTATGATTCCATGAAAAGTTTTTATATTCATAAAAATACAAATGTAGCCATTATGTCATATGATTTGCCACAAATAATCCAAAAACTACTTTTTCCACAAATAACGACTAATTTCATAATCCACTACGAAATTCACTATTTGCAGTGAAAGTTTCCATTTTGCACTGTCATAAATGAATATATTAAATAATAAAAAGTTATTTTGATTTTCGAAATCGTTCTTCATGCATACTACAAAACTGCTTGTATTATTTTGAAAATCAAAATTTTCATCAATTGTTTTTGAAGTTTTTTTCTTGTAATAATCTTCAGAAACCATTTTTGCAGCAAAACGATGCTTCATAGTGCATATATGAAGTTTTATGTTGAAAGATATATATTACATCAAATTATTATGAAGTGAATTAAGACATGCATATCAATAGACGAAGATTATATTTTATGTTTCTTACCTTAATAGTTGCATATGTTAACAAGTATTCACTTTGTGCGTATGTCATCTGATATCTACAAAAACATTAAATGAAGACGTTGCTTGATTAGTTCTGAATAATGTATCATTTCATGAAATCAAAAGGGTTCCAAAATATGAGAATGGAAATAAAATTTTGTAAGAGGGTATTGTTAATATATTCATTATATTTAGGCTTTTACCCTGCGATCTGATCATTAACAAACCATGGTTCCCATCGCTTCTCAACCGGAAGATTGAGACTTCTTATCCACTTCTCTGTTCCCACATGTGGAAATACCATATCATGATCACCGCTGTAAATTGAATTAATTTTAAAAAAGAAACATATGAGCTATTATCATCACAAAATGCTGTCTTAATATATATATATATATATATATATATATATATATATATATATATATATATATATTGCTAATAAATCACCCTATTATCACTTTTATAAAAAAATCAACCTATAATCAACTACTTATAATCATCTTTTTAGGAAAACAATGTAATTTTAACCAATAAAAATATTTTAATATTAATTAGGGTGTCTATATGGTAAAGTGAGATGTCTTTTTAGCCAACCCTTATATATATATAATGATGGTAATATGTATAAAAGGGATTTTTGTAATTATACATAAATATGCATTCATTAATTAAATAAGAGGTCATTAAAATCAATAGTAATGATGATAATAATTGAAAATAATTACATTTATATAAGGGTTTACTTTAATTATAGGGAATTATATTGATTGAACACCTCCTAAAATTGTGTATTCCTTGAAATTCAATTAGCAAATGTCATTTTGTGGTTCTATTGGTTTTATTTTTAATTTTATCAAGACATATATAGTTGTAAACTAGACTTCGTTTTTATTAAAAAAATTATACTACATAATATAAAAAGAAAATGTGTTTAAGTTACAGATAAAGACCAGTATTGACATATCCTTTATGAAAGAAATTCATTTATTCCTAAACCATAATGTTTCATTTATTTTAAGTAAATCATGAAATATAAGACATGATATATTAAAATTTATAATGAAAGACACGATTAGAGTAAACAAATTCATGATTCAGTGAAATTGTTGGTTGAATAAATTTGTTATTCATTTAATATATATAAAATGCATAAACAATTTTGGGATTGCATATAAAAAATATGTGAATATTTTTTTTTTATATAGAGGAAAAATTATATATGTTTGTGTATTTTGATTTTTTTTTTATAAAAATAAAGTTTACTTTATAACTGGGTATGTACAGCTACAAAAATAAACCAACCAATCATCAAGTGACATGCACTAGAACGTAATTTCCTAAGGAAACCAAAATCAATTATTAAAGACTCTTATGCAGAAATTAAGGATCATGTCTTATATGATCTTAATTTGATAATCAAAAACAATTGCAACTTCGGAATCGAAATTATAGGAGGGACAGGATACGACATCGATAATAAACAATGAAAATTTGATTTTTTTTTTTTTCTTTTGTAACAATGAAACGAGAATGTATATGTAAGAGTATTAGTATTATTACCATATAATCAAATATTGGCATTTCTTGGCAAGAAGTTGTTTGTGGATGGGGATAGTGCTGAATACATCGTAGGAGTAAATGATTGTGTCATTTTTCCCTAAATCGTAATGAATAGTCGAGTTTTGCCACTCCCAAGTTTCTATTGTTCCCTAAACATGAAAAAGAAAGGATTCAAATAATTCTTAAGCATATTATGAAGTGAGTACACACTTTTTTGTTGTTGAAGACAAGAAGTAATAGCATGTTTTGTGCGCATTGAATTGTAAAGCAAAGTAAGATATAATCTAATAGTTTGCATGTGATGTGAGGTTGCCTCACTTCATAAATATACATACATGTTCTTATATATCTACCATTTAAAGTTTTTTTTTTTTTTTTTTCAAGTAGTGACAACCTCGCGTATTGTGGCTAAAATAAGATTCCATTACTATGTTTGCAAGTATTCAACTAGAGAATTCAACTTGTAGGTTGTAGCACCCCGAATAATATACATATATACGTAGATATATATACACACAACTATATACAAACATACCTCGCGAACATTAAGAGCTTTCTGAACATCTTTATCATTTGCCCAAGCTACTACAAGTCCAAAAGTAGCTTCCTAAATAAAATAAGAAGAATGGTGAATTCATAAATACAAAAATATTATAGGAAAAACTTTGTCTCAGTCTATATAAAGAAAAATTACTCGACAAGCTGGGTCTGATGTAGCACATAACGGTTCCAATATATTCTCTAAGTTAATCATACTTGTGCACTGCAATTGAGAATTTGTATTAAAGTCGATCAATCATGTTACAAAAAATCGTATAAGATCTTACTTAAATACAATGTGTATACCTCATCCACCCATTGGAGGTTATTCGAACAACGGATGCTGTCTAAATCATTGTATAGAGATACATAGTTACCATTGCATGTTTTTTCTGTAGACTGGAATATAAATAAATATAATCAGGTGAAAAAACAAATTGTTGTAACATTGAACACTAAATGGTCATAATTCTTGTACAAAAAAAATGCATTACCTCATACATTTCGTCCGATATTAATGATAGTCGGTGAGCAAACTCAAATCTTGAATTAAAATCACCAAACTTATCAGTTAAAGGGGAAACACTAATGACTCCCTATATAATGGATAAAAGATTAGTTAATATAAAGTTCTATACTTCCTTCATTTCAACAAGATTTGTGAATAGTATTATATATCAACATTTGTAAATAGTCTTATAAAGTCTACATAGTTGATATTTACCTTAATATTCATGTGTGGTTGATTTCCACGTTCATTACCTACAAAATACAAGGAATCGTAAATAGAATGTTGGTAGAATCAAGCCTTTTAGGGACAAACTACGAATTAATGAAATTATTTTATAGAATAGCAGTATATGTAACTTTTTTTAACAACAGGCAACCCCACCCTAAGGTTAAAGCATGTATAATTCGAACTTGTCTCAACTTCTTTTGATATGTCTAATTACTAAGTGATCACGACTTGGACACCTTAGTGGTGGTAATACGAGTACATATATTAACAATAAATATTATGGTTATCACATATATTTTACATCTCTTGATGCAATTTTGTTCTCCCACACCAATGTTCGAGGAATAGAATTAGACTGAAAGAAGAACATATCCTATAGATTATAGATCAGTATATGGTATATAATGGATTCAAACATTCGTATAAGTAAATGATATTCATTCATCTTAATACCCATAATAGGAGCTTAGTGGATGAGCCTCACTCAATAGAGTGGTTTAGCTTCATCCAACTTGTAGATTAAACCATCTTATACATACTAATGAATTTATGTTACAGAAATGTGACCCTTTAACTTATTTATGTTGTTTATATCAATATATTCTACCAAAGGTAAAAGTACGCATGTATATAGTTTAACGAGCATGGTATAAATCAATTCTAAGTTTAGACACACTTGTTTTGATGATCAAGATTTTAAAGTGTATGACACACATAGTTCTTATGGCTTTTTGGTCCTCGTTCTCATGCCTAAAGGGCCAGAGGGCC